GGAGAGAAGGCCCATCAACAACCCCGGCTATATTATATCGCCTTAAAGTGTCTAGGGACTGATAAACCTGGTTGACGAGTTGGCGATGGTAAATAGCTGGATTAAGCGAGTGGGTCGAGGCTGTGGATAGGCATGCGCGCGCCTTACATGCCTTTACCGGCCAGTTAAGCCGTCGATCTTCAGGACCTTCAAATTGGGCTCCGTTTCGAGGATCCTGCAGCCTACTGTATTTACCATAGTCTACTTCAACGGCGGCAAAAAGTTCATCCGCCCCTCCACAAGCTTCCCTAGTTATTCCCTCTTTCTCGTCATTATTGTCCTTCCAATCCTTCGCTCTAGCCGTCGCATCTGCCGCCATAACAACTTCTTCCGTAGGCGACTGTTGAACAGATTGGCCCATGATGCTTGGCCTTTCGGAAAAAATGTTATTATGTGGAGCCTCAATATAGGCAGCATTGGCGAGGCAACTGAAGCCCTCCATACTGAACGATTGTTCAGGATGGACAGCTTGATTTCGTGATCTTCCCTCTTTGCGCGTCGCCAAGTCAGCTGAGAGAGATGATCTCGAGGCCGAGTGCATAATGCTAGAAGTTGGAGCACATTGAAAGTCTTGGTGGCCTAGAAATCATAAAAATTTAAAGCAGGAAAATTAGAAATCAAATCAAATCTAGAGCAAGTCATTGTATAAATTTACAGCTAAGATATCAAACCTACAAAGTTTATCATGACATTTAATTTAAGTAAAAAATTCTATAAAATGCATAAAACTGTAAGGACAGTTTTGAGGATGATCTTGAACCTTCCTATCATCCACAGTCGTTAAGGGCAAATATAATTCGTTAACTATGCAATCATTTAAAATAAACAAAACAAAAAACTAAAATAGGATAAAAATGTAAGATAAGGCCGGTTAAAAAAGTAAAATGGACAAATGAAAGTATATTTATTTGAAAAATAAGGTTATTCAAGACATATCTTTTAGTAGATAACCCGTCCCACAACGAAATAGTTATATATTTCAACTACATCCTTTAAAAAGTTGGTTTCTT